GGGTGAATAACAGCTTGGTTGCCCCCACAGCCACCAAGAGTTTCTGAAGCACAGGGACACATTGCCCACTGGGGAATAGGTTCATGATTTCTCGGAATGGGGCTTCCCAGAGGATGCACAAATAACTCCCAGGTTCCTGGGGCAGCTCGTGGCACCGTCAGCACCCTCCTTACAATCTGGCAGGTGAGCCAGGGGTGCAAGGGAGTGCTGAGGACCTCTATGGATCCTTGGGAAATGATCTCAGTTCCTTCCCAGGCTATTTCCAGGCCCGAGGCCCCAGGGAGGGCAATGGGTTGCTATCCCCTTTCTTCCTTCCCTCCAAGTTCCCCAGCTCTAGGTGCAATCTGTTTTGGGAAGGGAAAGGAATAAGGTGGCTTCTGTCCGATGCTGAGTGCTGCTGAAGGTTGCAAGTTTCAAATTTCTCCAACAGTGCTTCAGGTTCTCCCCAGTGTGAGGGCTATGGCAGGAGCTCTGGAAGGCTTAAGGAAAGGAGGGTGAGGTGGAGGGAGAAGCACAAGAGAAGTGTGAGTTTCTGCTCTAGACGCGAAGTGCAAGGATCCTATCATTTCAGCAGTGGCTCTCATACGCTAAAGTCAGAGTGGTCATCTTTCCATTCATCAGCCTTTCATTTGCAATTGGATAACATTATCTTTGCCTGCCAGGAGGCAGAAAATGACGTTGCCCTTTGTGCTGTGATGATGGTGTTGCAGTGTCCACGAGGAGAGGGGAGGAAGAAGGGGAAAGGCCTGAAGTACCCAGTTGTTGTGAATCAGGACATCTCAGGCAAGACAAGTCAGATGTTTCACCTGCTCCAAAATATCAGGCTTCCCCTACTCCCTGCCCTCCTGGAATGCTTTTAGAATTTTTGCACCGCTGGAATTGGGAAAAGCAGTATTTTAAAGACCTCATCCGAAGCTCAGAGACCCCCTCCACAGCATAGTAGGGGATTTTTACGCACTGGTGTTTTGACAGCTTTCCCTGTGACTGATGCAGAACTCAGTGACCTTCACTGGCTCCGCGAACTGGCGGTGGCAGTGTCGTTATGTGCTGAGAAGCAATAGTTCAGTTCCATTCCAGAGATAGTTTGACTTCACTGGTAACCAGGTCATTCCTCTAAGTCCGGTAGTGTTGGTACAATCAGTCACAGACCATCTTGGAAGCTATTTGGATTAAACGCACTCTGTGGTGCGGCATTTTGATCACTACCCAATTCATTGCTGCTTCATTTTGAAAAAGAAACAACATCTTAAAAACACTACCCACAAGAAGTATAAATGGCTTTGATGGCCACAGTTCCCTGCCATTCTACTGGGACCATAAGCCCCACTCTTAAGAGTGGGCTTCTTTTTCTCCCATTTAATTGTATGCAGACTCCTACGGTGAAAGAAATCAGAATCTGTGCTAACTTTTTGGCATGAAAAACGTAGGCGATGAGGACGCATATAAATGCATTCTTTGCTGATTCTACCCCCATTTTGTACAAACATGTTTGCCCCTTCCCAGCTTTCTTGTGTACTAAAGCTCCACCTTCAGGACACAAGTTCACATTTGAAAAGTGTGGGAAATACGAACAACTGAAATAAATATTTAGGCATGTGAGTTCTGTATCTCTTTGATCACTTTCTCTTGGACACCACCGTCTGGCCCAGGGGTGCAAGTCCCCTTGGTGACAAAGCTTCCCTCTCCAACTGGCCGAGCCCATCTTGTTGGGTGTCACTTACAGCACGTTTTGGAACTCCTTGTAACACAACTGGCTGAAACCCAAAAAAAGAAGATGGTGCAGATTTATCCCCCAGACAGAGGCCCGCTACCACGGAAACAGGCAGTTCAGTTCGATTCCCAGCAGCTTTCACTAGATGGGAAAATCTTCATCATGAGAAAATATCAACTCCCTCAGGCACCGAAGGCAATCTGGGTTAACCAGGCCATCCACAATCAGACTCACTTCTGGTGGACAGGACTTTATAGATTCAGTGGTTTCCTGCTGGGGCTCAGGACATTAAGAACTGTTCAGTCGGCAATTGGTCACAGTCACAAGATGGCTATCACGGTACTTCAGTTTTGTTTCTGATTTTCTTCTTTTTTTTTTTTTATCTGACAGTGGTCTGTAGCATGACTTGGCAGGCCCTTTTGGTGGCTGACAGGAAAAAGAAATGAGCCAGCCTCCTTTCTAGACTGCTGATGAGTAGATGGTTGAAAGAAGATTAGAGGAAGAGCTGTTTAGTAAGTTCACATTGGTGCTGAGAGACAAGTTGGACACAGTTCAATCAACATGAAAAGTCTCTCTGGCATGGCATAGTTAAGACGTGGCTGAAGGAACTCCATGTCTCATCCTCTCTGCTCACCCAACATGGCCCTAGACAATTGCTGAGCATTCTTATGCTTGGCAATAGTGCCCCCCGCCATGGTTTAAAGTCAGGAAGGCTTGTGGTGGTCCTTCAGTAGGTGTGACTTGGGGTCACTCCCACCTTTACAGCTGTCATCTTTTTCCATGTCATGATTTAATAGCTCATGGTCATTCACCAGCAGAGTGCAAATGCGGATGGGAGAGTGGAGTGAAACATACAAGAAAATGATTCTTGATGCAAAGTCCAATGACTTTCTTTAAGCTAAATAAGACCCTATGCTCTGCTTTAGCGATGGATGAGCTATTGCCTATTGAAAGGACACAAAATGTCAGATATGCTTTAGAGACTGTGGAGTCTAGGACATCACCTTAGCATTCCAGCCCTCACTTTCCAGGCAGTGTGTTCAGCGTCATGAAGTTTCAAGCCTTTTCTCCAAAACATGCACCAAAACCATCCGTGGTTAAGAATCTGAGACTATTATTGGTTGAAAGCAAAATATGGTAAATCACCAGCCATCAGTGTTTTTGTAGGCCGGCTGGAGTTCACCCTGCATGAAGTATGCAAACTCATCAGGTAATTACTTCTTCAGATTTGGGAAATCTCTGTAACTTGAGCAGTCTCTTGAAAATCAAGCTTTTCTCTGATATTTACGAGATTCCAGTCTGTCCCTGCTTGTATTGTCCTTGCTGTTCTTCGGAAATAAGGAGCCAAGGGGGCATCAAGGACTAGACACAAAATGCTGATCCCTCTTTAATACGTTGTTTCCCATGTCTTTGCCCTCCTATCACAGCTCTGAGACTCGCTGTCAGCATAATCCTAGGCTCTGAGTCCTCTGATAACTGGCAGCTTGGCATAAGCCCATTCTAAGAGAAGAGCTGCCAGAAAGCAGGCCTTCATATTAATAATAACTCCAACTCTTGAAATGAATAGCAGAAGATAAGATAAACACACAGATAACTTCACAGCCACTTGTACTTCCACTTCCTTGAGATTCTGGTGGGGAGATGCTCTGAGCTGAGAATAAAGTTGCTGGACTTCGCAGTGAGCCCTCTGATGCTCTCCACCAAGCTGGTGTGCCTTCTCATTCTTATGTCCTTGCCACTCCCTAGAAAATAGTCCCACCAGGGTGGGGAGGAAGCAACCAATATCAGCTCTGAGCATGGGCTTTTGCTGTCGGGAAGCTGGGTGTGGGGCCCCAGGGTCGGGGCAGCCCCGCTCATTACCCATCCTGGGGAAGCCCTGGGAATATGGCAGCACAACAGCATCTGTCAGGCGCTCAGCCCCACACACAGAATCCCAAATCCAAAGTTCATAAAAGACCTAATGTTTGCCTCGCCCTCCTGCTCCTATTCTTTTTGTGTTTTTTTTTTTTTTTCAAAGCCTTCATTGAGGTTTGACTGTCATACAAAAATCAGTACCTCTTTATTACATACAACCTGTTGTGCTTGGAATAAGTCCACACCCATATCACCACAATCTCTTCTACTCCTTCCCTAGTCCTTCCTATTTATGTCTTCTTCCCCATCTGTGCTGAATAGTCTCTTCTCCCTGCAGACCACTTCCCACTCCTCCCCCTTTTGTTGTAGACCCAGAAGTTTGACATTTACGGACATCACCCTTGCCTTTTGGCTTCTGGTTGGATTCAGCCCATGGGAAGTCCCAGCCGGAGATCCAGAGGTGGACAGCTAGGGTGAAGTTTGAATGTTTATTCTCCTAGCTCCCTCCTTGCCCATCTTTGTGGCTGTGTCCCTCTCAAAGGCTCCTGTGGGCAGTCCTCTCTTACAGCTGCACTGTGGGCCCAGTACACTTCTGTGGGCCCAGTAACCACTCCCAGTCCTCCTCTGTAGGCCTGTGGGATTCCATGACTGTTGCTGTGGCTGGTCCACTGGTCTCCCTTCATCCCGGCATACCTCAGCCGTGGTCCCTCCATGAATGTATCTGTTTGCATGTGTCACCTGTTTCCTGCCAGAATCATAACTAACAAACCAATGTACCTCCAAACATGGATCTAGAGGTGACCCCAAATGATGTTTAAAGCTGTGCATTCAGTTTGTCCACTGATGGAAAGCAGAGAGGCGGCTAGTCAAAGTGGAACTCCTTTGTTTCCAAATGGTTGGTTCCCCTGAATCTGGCAACGGAAAAAAGCTACATTTTTATTCTCTTTGCACAGGCTTTCCTACACTAAATTCAACCTGGTGATACAGACAGATAGAAACCTGGCTGGGTAGGATTTTTTTTTTTTTCAGTTAAAACATAAAACTAAAAGAATCTTGAAAGTAAATCAGAACTGCTGGGGACTAAGGGTTCAGAAGGTGGTGGGGGCAGAAGGTGGTTATGATCTCTCAAATTCTGCTGAACGTTTGAAATATATTTTCAAACAAGACACAAAACCAAGCGCACCGCTTTTTCCTTTTTAGACGTTTCTCCTTAAGTCTGAACTCCAGCAGTCCCTTCCATAAAGTTGAGAAATTTCATTGATATTCATCATTACAAAGCAGGATTATTAAGAGATTGCTATACTTCCTCATCTCCAGATCTCACCCTGTCCCACCTGCTACTAATAATGAAGAGATAAACTGGATGCTTTCGGTTCCTTTATACTCAAGGAGGGCTATGTAGGAGAGATGGAGACCCTCTAAAGATGCTACTTTTTTTTAGTTTTTTTAATTTTTAAAAAATGTTGAAAAATAAATTTATGTCTTCCTAAGTTCCCAACCCCCATTTCTCCAAGCTTCTGGAAGATGAGCTTGGTGGGCACCCTCAGAGCCTTAGCATTTCCCAGCTGGCCCCTGAAGACAGAGCCTCCCTTCCAGCCTCTGCTGCTGTAAGGCCCCTCTGCCCACCTCCCCCCTGCAGCCCCCTCCCCACCTCACCCCAGATTTACTACTAAAAGAAGGGAAAGAGGAATGAGAACAGCCAGCACACCCAACTGTCCTCTCCCCACCCCGCAAGCTAAGGTCACTGCCCTTGACACACAAAGGGCAGGGCCCAGAGGCCAAGCCCCAGCAGACTAGGAGGCAGCTATTCCCCTCCCAGCCAGGAAGCAAAAGTGCCCTCAGGCCAGCTCAGAGTTACCTGAGCCCCGGCCCAGCTAGCAGGAACACAGGCAGAACCCACAGGTCCGGGCTGGGCTGTCGGCAGCTCTGGGTCTTGGGAAGACCCAGCAAGAGCCCTAGTCCCTTCTGTCCTCAGTGGCACAAGAGATGCCTGGGGATGTCCAGCAAAGGGGTCCTGGATCCTGTGGTTGGTGGAGGACTCAGGGCTCAGAGTGAGGGCCTAAGGGCTCCAGAGGGGCTCCAATCAGGGTGGGTGGGGGCTGAGGGCCAGGACAGGCATTATAGTGGGAGGCAGCCAGAGTGGGGCAGATGAGAGTCGGTGGGGGCTGGTTGGGGGCCAGCTGGGGCTGGAGGAAGCACCCTGCTGCAGTGGGGATGGTTGTCGGAGCAGAGTGGGAGCCATGGGCAAAGGTAGCCTCAGCAATGAGGCAGCTGGGACAGCGAGGTGGGAGGTAGAGGGGGGTAGCACCGGGGGCACTGATCAGGGCACAGACATGGAGACCGATGTAATCGGGACCTCATCATCTTCCTCTAGAGCTGGGGCTGTTAAGGGAGCTCCTCTCCTAGCCTCCTCCATGGAAACTGCGCCTCCAGGGACCCCATCCTGTTCAGCCTCCCATTCTTGCAGCACCTCCTCCAGACTGAAGCAGCACCGGTAGCTCACAAAGGTCTTCACCTGGGTCAGCGTCTTGTTTCCAATCACCGCTGCAATACCTGCAAAGTCTCTGCCATACTTACAGATGGCCTGGACAGCCAAAAGCTGCTCATCTGTGGTGCAGCGGGAGCTGAATTGGTGTTGGCCTCCAGGGGGCGGAGGGGGTCAATGCCGCCTCCAGGGCTTGATGCAGGCTGCTGTTCATCAGCTTTGTGCTCTGTACCTCTCTCTTGGGGTCTCCAGCATCAGGCTTTCCCTCCCTCACACCTCCTCAACCCTCTTTGAGCTCATCACTGTCTCCTTTGTCCTTGTGGCCCCCCAGCCTCTGGGCCTGTCTGTCCATCACGCTGGTTCAGCTGCGGATCTTCTTCCAAGAGTAGTAATACTTAAAACAAAAAAGCTATTTTAATATTTTTTAAAAATAAGATATTATTTTATGGGAATCAACTTGCCAGGCAGCATCTGCTGGATCCACTGGAAACACTTGGCATGGAAGCCAAAGGCCTGTTCAAACAGCACCTTGTCCTCTACCGTCCACTTGTCAGGGAGCGTGGTGAAGGTGGCCAGGTGGGCCAGGGACTTCTCCACATTGTGCTTATGCCTCAGGAGCATGCCCAGCACCTGCTCAATGTTGTCTCCATGCTTCTCCTTGGCCGTCACAATGTACTACCGGCCAAGCTTGGCATCTGACACGCAGTGGTTGGGTGACCACACCAGCATCCCTTCCGCTCCTTGCTGCTGCAGTGTGCGGGGCTCTCAGGCTTGCACTCCGGAATTACGGCCTGGTAATCGGTTCCCACAGGGATGATGCTGTCTCGCCAGTGCTCCCCGTCACCGCTGTCATCCTCCGAGTGGGGCTGTCTGCCGTCAGGCACTGTGTTGGTCCGGCTACAGGACAGGATCCCCAGCCTGGCTCGGCTTCTCCATTACCCAGGGCATTACCCTGCCCAGCTGCCCTGGTGGGGGGTGGGGAGTGCAGGAGCCTTCAGAGAGTGAACAGTGGCTGCCACACTTACCCCAAGCACAGTGCCTGGCTGGGCCTGAGAGGTCATCACACGCTGTCTTCCATCTTGCCCCTGCCCCCAAGATGCTACTTTTTTAGAGGGTACTTTATTTTTACCCTGCTATGACATCTGAATCAGTCAATTTGAAACCTGATTCCCCCCATTTATTGGACATTCTTAATGGTGATTAAATATTTACGCTGTCAGAGGCCTGTTTTTTCCCTACCGTGAAAGCGGCAAATTTGGAACATTCAGGAACTTTAATTCTGAGGACAGGCACGCTTACATTCATAGCCAAATGGTCAAAGATGCATTTCTCAGTCTCTCTGATTTGGTGGGAGGAGGAGGAGGCCTGGTGGGGATGGTGATGAAAGGACAGGTGTGTGATCCTAGGGGCACAATCCTGGCCAACTGGATTTCTTGCTGACTGAGGACTGGACACGGAACTGTTCTGAGGCCAGTTAGCAATCAGCAGAGTTGGCCTAAGTCAAGGGTCCCTTTTGGTTGTCCTGTGTGACCGCTGGAAGCCCACCCACCTGGGTCCCAGAACTCATGGACCTGGGCTCCTACGTATCTCATTCCCAGCCGTGAGGGAGGTAAGGTTTGCCTTGCCAGCACTCACAGTCTCTTATGTGCCCAACTAATCCTACCTCGATGGTGGTGATGGTGTTACCCCTAGCCACCCTGGCCCACTGGGAACTCCAGTGTCATGATTAAGAGCTCAGGCCTCAACGAGGGCCACCCTGAGGAACTTAGGCCTGCACAAGGGCACGCAGCCAAGGGGCATGAGGAACTAAAACCCAGCCTGTTTTCTGTTTACCAAATCTTGCACCCTGGCTTGGGGCTGGATGTTCCCAAAGGAAGTGGCGCCTTTTTCTTTGTACAAAGACTTTGGAGGCTGGCAGTGATCCCAGCCAGGCCTAGGTTCCAGACCCTGTGCACCACTCAGTAACTACGCAGGCTTGAGCTATCTGAGCCTCAGCATCCTCACCGTGGTTTGAAAAAATAGCATTCATCATGGGGGATTTTCATGCGTATTGAATGAGATAATATGTGTAAAGCATTTAGCACAATGCCTGGCACACAGGAAGTTGCTCAGTAAATAAAAAACATTATGATTACCATTATTATTACCAGGACTCTAATGCTGTGTTAACTCAGCATTATTAGTATTAGTACGGGTTTGCTAGGACTGCCATTAACAAAGTATCACAGTTATTTCCTCACAGGTCTGGAGGTTGGAAGTCCAAGATCAAGGTGTTGGCAGGGCTGGTCTCTTCTGAGGCTTGTAGATGTCCATCTTCTCTCAGTATCTTCACATGGTCCTTCCTCTGTACATATCTGTGTCCAGGTTTCCTCTTCTTATAAGAAAACCAGGCTGGGCACAGTGGCTCAAGCCTGTAATCCCAGCACTTTGAGAGGCCGAGGTGGGTGGATCACTTGAGGTCAGGAGTTTAAGACCAGCTTGGCCAACATGGCCCGTAATCCCAGCTACTCGGGAGGCTGATGTAGGAGAATTGCTTGAACCCAGGAGGCAGAGGTTGCAGTGAGCCAAAATCATGCCACTGCACTCCAGCCTGGGTAACAGAGTGAGCCTGTCTCAAAAAGAAGGAGGAGGAGGAGGAGGAGGAGGGAGGAAGAAGGAAGGGAGAAGGAGGAAGAAGGAAGGGAGGAGGAAGAGAAGAAGGAGAAGGAGGAGAATGAGAAGGAGAGGGAGAGGGGGAGAGGAGGAGGGGGAGGGGAGGGGGAGGAGGAGAGGGAGGGGAGTGGGGAGGGAGAAGGAGAAGGAGAAGGAGGAAGGAGAAGATACACAGATCTGTGATTTCCAAATGGCATAAGGAATAGGTCAGAAAGTAACAACAGTAGGCTGGAGTGGGAGGGTTTTCAAGAACTGCAATAAAGGAGGAAGAACAGCAGATTCAGGGGCAGGTACTTTCAAAGAGGTGAGAAAGTGATCAAGAAAACAAGTTGGTGTAAATATTACAAGCAAATAGAAGATATGAAGCAGGATGGCAGATGGCAAAATTGCCCCTGTCCTTGGGAAGTCCTTTCAAAGAAGGGAAGAATTTTTATTAAATATGGAATTTGGGGGTATAGTGCTTTAAGAAATATACCATAGCAAAAGCCAGACTTTGAGCATAGGCAAGCATTACTAAAGCTTCATTACTAAATGCTATTTGCTGCCCATTGAATGTGTACCCCACGAATGCTGTGAACTATCAGGACGTGTGTGGGGGTGTATGTGAAATTAGATTAAGGGTCACAGACAGTACAAAGCCAAGAACACTAATGGCAGGAGTGTAATTCCTTTTCTAGGTACAAGTCCTATCATTTCAGCTAGACATTCGGCCTCTGTGACCAGGCTATGCGTTGTTAATGATACTGGGATTATGAGATTTTATTGTGAGTGAAAGGTATTCAAAAACCATTGCTGGTTGTATGTGCATGAGAGTGACCAAACTAAAATCCAAAAGACAAAATGTGATTCATGAAACCACATTTTACCTAGTTCAGGAAGGACCCACGGAAGTGACGCTCAAGTGCCTGTAGGAAGGGTGCAGTTAGCATTGAAGGCATGAAAAGAGGCACCTTGGCTGGGCGCAGTGACTCACGCCTGTAATCCCAGCACTTTGGGAGGCCAGGGCAGGCGGATCACTTGAGGTCAGGAGTTCAAGACCAGCCTGGCCAACATGGTGAAACCTTAGTCTCTACTAAAAATACAAAAATCAGCTGGGCGTGGTGGCGCGCACCTGTAGTCCCGGCTACTTGAGAGGCTGAGGCAAGAGAATCACTTGAACCTCCTAGGAGGTGGAGGTTGCAGTGAGCTGAGATTGTGCCACTGCACTCCAGCCTGGGTGACAGAGCAAGACTCAAAAAAAAAAAAAAAGAGGGGCCTTAAAGAAATAGGAGTTAAACTGATGGTAGCGATTGTGAGCACATTTCTCTGGCTGTTTTGTTGTTGAATAGAATGTGTAGATGAAACAAAACAGGCCGTGGTAGCAGGCTGCTGGAAAGAGCCTTCCTGCTGTATGGAGGGTTCTGGGGCCTCAGTATGCAAAGCCCAAAGATGTTGCCCATAAACCGACCCCAGTGAGCAGCCCCTACTGGCCAAGATAACTCTTTCAGCTTCACACTTGTCCAGCACTTAAAACCTGTGCTCATCTTTTGACTCTTACCATCATTATTGTTAAAAACAACAAGTATTCTCAACATCACTGGTCATTAGAGAAATACAAATCAAAACTGCAGTGAAATACCATCTCAAGCCAGTTAGAATGGCGACCATTAAAAAATCAGGAGACAACAGATGCTGGAGAGGATGTGGAGAAATAGGAACACTTCTACACGGTTGGTGGGAGTGTAAATTAGTTCAACCATTGTGGAAGGCAGTGTGGCGATTCCTCAAGGACCTAGAAATAGAAATTCCATTTGACCCAGCAATCCCATTACTGGGTATATATCCAAAGGATTATAAATCATTCTATTATAAAGACACATGCACACATATGTTCACTGTGGCACTGTTCAGAATAGCAAAGACTTGGAACCAACCCAAATGCCCATCAAAGATAGACTGGATAAGGAAAATGTGGCACATATACACCATGGAATACTATGCAGCCATACAAAGGATGAGTTCATGTCCTTTGCAGGGACATGAATGAAACTGGAAACCATCATTCTCAGCAAACTGACACAAGAACAGAAAACCAAACACTGCATGTTCTCACTCATAAGTGGGTGTTGAACAATGAGAACACGTGGACACAGGGAGGAGAACATCACACACCGGGGCTTGTCAGTGGGTGGTGGGAGATGCTAGGGGAGGGATATTGGGGGTGGAGGGATTGGGGAGGGATAAGATTAGGAGAAATACCTAATGGAGATGATGGGGAGAATGGATGCAGCAAACCACCATGGCACATGTATACCTATGTAACAAACCTGTACGTTCTGCATATGTACCCCAGAACTTAAAGTATAATAAAAAAAATTGAGTTCAACTAAGCATTTATCAAATATTTGAAGTCACTGGGGTATACAAATAAGTTTCTAACCACATTGGCCAATGTTTAAGGACTTTATATCTGGCAAAAAAAGGAAAAAAAGGTATTTATTAGAGGACTTTCATATGTAGGGGCTTATGCTAAGAGCTAAGAATATACTTGGTACTGTCTCCTGTTGTTAGCAGTGGGATTTTCATGCTTCTTTAAATGAGCCAGGCTCTTTCAAGCACCGGTGCCCTTGCATTTGCTGTACATTTCATCAGAAATACCCTTTCCATCTTCTCAGCTTTGTGAACTCTTACTTATCCACTATGGTCCAGTGTAAAAGCCACTTGCTCCTGGGATTCTTCCTTTAAATTGTTCTGGAATGCCTCTACTAGACGATAAGCTCCCAATTAAAAAATAAAACTACAAATGAAGTACTAGCTCATCTTTGTGTCCCTAGGACCCATGTACAGTAAGGGCCCATTCATTTATTATGAAATAGTGTCTGCTCCACGCCAGGCTCTGTTCTAGCAGTGTGACTGAACTCGCCTGTTGAATTTGTATAACGGGACCAACTCCTCCACTTGGTTCTGAATTCCCTGCTCTGAACTTGAAGAGCACTTTATCGGTAAGTTCACAGCATTTAAATCTGGTGACTCACATCATGCACTACACATTGTTTGTGTGTATAGCTCTTCACTTAATCTAATTTATTTGAGATCAGGGAGGGCGTCTTACTCAGTTTATCTCCACATTCCCCGTATTCCTCAAACTTTCTGTTCATTAACTCACTCCCATCTTTTTAACGATACTTCCTGAGAACCTACTATGTGCTAGGTATGTGTGGCGGGCTGGGGTTATTGCAATGAGCAAGACCAATGGTGTTATTTTCGTGCAGATTACTGGGCTTTACACAGAGTCAGTATTCAATAAATGTCAGTTGAATTGTAGTGTAAAGGCTCCATACTTTTTAGGGTCAGGGGTCTTTCTTTGAGGTACCCACAGTCCCACATACAATGACAAAACTTGGCATCTGCACAATGCATATTTACCAATTCATGAATTGATTATCTCTGCAGAGAAAGAGAATAAAAGGAGAAAACAACTCCTTGCCACCAAAAATATTATTGACAACATGGAGGAGCAACCACTGAACACAGCTTTTGATTTATTTGTTAATTTACAGCACCTTTCAAACTTTGTTTGAAAATGGCTTTATACTGAAAAGCGAAGCATCTTATACTGTAATTATGTCAGGCAAGCCTACAATAATTATAATAATTATCAACTGAGTGCCAATAATACTTTAAGAACTCCACTGAGCATAAAGATCGCACCAGCGCCTAACAGGTATTTAAAATTAAGCTCCTTAAAATTGCAAAGGCACAGACATAGTGTTTTCTATTTTTTAGTAAGTGAAGATTCTGACAAATAATTACCCTCTTTTCCCCGGTAGAAACTTCTGTTTACACGGAAAACTTTCTCTGAGATAGATTTCTTCTAAATCCACTGGAAATTTGAGCAACTGAGTTTCTTTAACATATCTTCAATGACATTCTCTCATCTGTATGAAAAATATGACAATATGCTAGATCTCGGAGCCCTTCCAGAGCAGAAGGGACACACCCGTTAACAGACAAGTTTTCATAGGTATGTCGTTCTACTAAGCATAGAAAAAGGCAGACTTTGAAGCACGCTAGGATTCCCCCTAGTGGATGTAAAAGGTACTTGATTTAAGAAAAAAAAAATCCACACCTGAGGGGAGTTGGTGGGTACCGTGGTTTACAAACATTCATTCCTCCCTAGCATCTGCTCCTGAAAGTTGGAAGCGTGTCACCGATTAATAAAGGTTTGATTAGCACTCCTCTTTCTATCTGGCATCCATAGTAATTAAGGTGTCTGCCTGCAGGCTTGCAAATGCAGCATGAAATTACAGTCAGCCCTAGAACAGAGAAATAAAATGAACACTCTTTAAAACAACACCATCTAATTTCCATAAGACACTCCCCAAATCAAATTCTCATCTGTGACTATTTTGGTTTAAACTGATGTGGTGCCTTTATCCAAATCATGAAAAAGATTGAGAGACTCTGTTATTATCTGTCAATGGTGGCCAGCTACTTTAAAAATGTGCTCTTGTGTATTGTCCAAATTAGATTTCTGGGTGTTGGTCTCTGTCATGTCTTTTACAAATCCCCACTACTTCTCATGTGTCACATCTATGAATTCATTCCATACACATTTGTTGATTATAGTCACAGGGCCAGGTGCTAAATAGTGGGGGATAAAGAACACAGATAAGACACAGATCTTGGCCTCTGAAAAGCTGCTGATCTATTCTGACATGTCAACTTTCTGCCTCCTTTATTGGCTCTGCTTTCTCCTCCTACCTTTAAAAATGTAGATGTGTAGGTGACCATGATAACTATTTTTATCTTCCCAGAGAGGTTTACCATTCCTGTTCTTCTGAGAAAGAGGCTGTACCTTCCTTCCAGCCATACAGGGGCATATGACATGGGTCTGGCCAATCCAAGTGCCCTGTAGGTTTGGTCTAAGGATGGGTCATGTGATTCTAGCAAAGTCAACTGGAGTTCTTTACAGGAATTATTATAGAAATGATGGGAGAAAAGAGGTTTTTTATGGGCGTGGCTAATCTGGGGCTAGCAGTGGCTTTGCCCTCTGCCTAGCAGAAAAGTCCTGAATGAGATAGAGATGGGGGCGGGGTGGAGGGGAGAGAGAGAGGGACTGACTGCTGAGGCTCACCAGGACTGAGTGCTCAGCTAACGCTTGGTCATCACTCTTGACATCAGTCCCTTCTTCTGTCTTTGGCACCCTCTCATCCCTGCAGTATTCTCCCTGGTCAGTATCACCAATGCACACAAGCTTCCATCACTGCTTATTTGCTGATGGCTCTAAGATATCTACACAAATGTGATTTCTTCATCTCTGAACATTAGGCCTTGAACTTTAGATCTGTATGTCTAAATGCCTACTGGCCATTTCCCTTGGACATTCTATACTTACTTGAAGTCAATTTTCTTCCATACCTTTTCCCTGCAGGTTCCTAGTCTTATTGGGTGACACCACTGTGCATCCAGGTTTTCAAATCAGAAGGTGGAAATCATCCTAGATGCTTATTTCACCTTCTATATTTAATCAACCAGTAAGCCCACTAATTCGTATCATGGGCTTGATTTCTCGTTATAAGATTTCTTATTTCCCAGATCCTCTCTGTTCTGTCCTTCCTACTCCTTAGCTTGGCCTCTCATCACTTCAGCACTAGGCTGTTTTAGGCGAGACTGGTGTTCCTGGTCCCAGGTTCGTTGCCCACCTCCTCCAACCCAACCTTCACACTGCCCTTTCATTGTATTCCAAAATGAAAGCTGATGGGATTACTTCCTGTTAGAAATACTTCAGTGACTCCCATTGTTTCCCAATTGCTTTATACCATGGCTTCATCCGGCCCCACTCTTCTTGGCAACACCTTCCTACACCAAACAAGGGCACTGGCTGCTGGAGGTGAACAGCCTAGGAGCTTTCTTTGTCAGGTTCCACCCAACAGTCCCAAGGGCTGAGAGAGCAGGGTAGTATCTCAACATACTTTATGAAACACACATTGGGAAGCCCTGACTTAGAGGAGACAGCTTATATTTCTTAGCTTGATACATAAGGTCCCTGCCTGGCCATTTTTGCAATATTATGTCCTCCATTTCTTCATGTGCACATGTGACTGGGCTCTGGGCTGAGCTAGGTGAAGAGTAGCTGCATGGGGCCAGCTAATCTGAACTCTGGAGCATCTATTGGCACAGGTTGATAAGCCTGCAGATGTTTGTTGCTGTTTTGTTCTGTCTAACGGAGGCGGTGGATGCTAGCCTTCTATGGAAAGACACAAAGGAAAGTAGATGAAATTAGTATGCTTCCTATCCTCAGACATTCCTTAATAGAGAGCAGGGTAGTCAGGAGCTAGAAGGTATACCATGTTCAAAAACTGATGACATTCAGGGCCTTTGCATCGCCTTGTGGATTAGTGACAGCGTGAGACAGAGAGTCCGAGAGGAGAGCTTTCTCACTCTCTTTGCATCAAAGGGAGGAGAGAGAGGATCAGGGAAGAAGCTACATTCTCAAAGATATTCCCCCTGGGGACTCCCCAGAATGACTGGAGAGATGGAAGGAGGAAGGGGTTGAATCCTAGAGTTATGCCAGGTAGGCATAATCAGGCAGAAAAATTCAGGGGGTATTAGTCGTGATCCCATTGATACCCACTGGGGAGACCTGTGCAAAATAGTTTACAGAAGCTGCATAAATTGGTTATGACATGTTTAGCTGTAAGGGAAAAAAACCCTAATTACTTAGAGCATAGGCAAGTAGAGGTTAATCTTTTCTTGTGCAAAAAGGAGCCCAGTTGCTAGTGTTGGTTGCTATTCGCTGTTACTGTCAAAGAGCCCCTCCAGGCTCTTAATATCTTTCTGCTGTCACAAGATAGCTGCCACAACTGGGAACATCATATCTGTTTTCAAGACAAGGAGGGGAAGGCTAGCTTTCTCCTAGCAAGACTCTGTCTTTTTTTTTTTTTTGTCCATACAGAAATCCCTGAGCAGACTTCTCCCTTGGACTTCATTGATCAGAATGTGGTCACATGCCCACACTATACCAACCTCTGAGGAAGAGAGAAAGAATGACCGTGATGGGCTCATGAGCCCAGGTGTGGAGGAGGAACACCTTGAGATGATCCCAGATACAAAACTAGGGTCCTCTTATCAGGGAAGAAATGAATGCCCAGTATGTAAAGAATGCTTGTGCATTGCTCCCTCCCGAAAGATTCACAGTTCTGATGCTGAACGTCTCCCTGTCCCTCTTGCCATTGCCTAAATCCAACTCACGCTTGGGGTTCCCACTCCAGCATCTTCTCCGACTCTTGCTCTCATTCTCCAGAATTGACCAACCCTTTCCGGGTGGCATCAACATACCTAGTCCATATGCCTGCACTTGCTCTTGCTACACTCCATTGCGATATGTATTTGTCAAGTGTCCCTGTGACCTCCTAACTCCTTGAAGGCAGTTCACATTATATTCATCTTTGTCTCTAATATCTAGCATGATGCCTGGTACATAGTGTTAAGTATTTGTAGAAGAGATGTTGCATGATAAAATCTAAATAGACATAGGAAATCCAAGATAGGAAATAATCATGTTAGCACTGGCATCTTCAAGCATGAAGGGCCACTGAATATGTACCATAGACAGTGATTCAATTCAGCCACACCTATTTATGGAGGATCTATTGTCTGCCAAGCACCAGGGGCGACACTAGAGAAGGAGAACACAGTTTCCGTGGGAAGACCGTATGCAGAGCAAAGATAACTAACAAACAAAAATAGCATCTGATAAGTGTCTCATTAGAGCTACAGGAGAGCGTGGCGGTGGGGAGACGGCGGACATTGGGACAGTGGTAGAAATGGTAATTAAAATCCACAGGTAATTCCAAGCCCTAATTTAATCAACACTTTCAACCTCCACCCATCCACAACTTCTTAGGGATGCAGGAAAATTGTCAGATTGGGATGTCATTTCCTCGAGGAGTCCTGCCTATCTGTCAGTGCACCTGTGACCCAGTAGTAAAAGAACCACATGGTAAACAGCCAAAGAGAGAACCAGGGAGAAAAGGGGACCTTGATAATTCACAGCTTAGATAGTCAGCTCTTGAATAGCTGAAAGCCGATGCAGTTTTAACCAGTGATTTGAAGATCAAATGATTCCAGGTTTTACAATTGGACTGCATTTGAGGTTTCTGATAAGATGTGTTATTGGAAAAGAGGTAACTAAAACCATGTGAAAGGCACAGTGAAATGCACTAAATGGATCATTTTCTAGGCCCTTCACTTCATGGAAACTGTGCTTGCCAGGGGACAATACTGAGAGTCTCTTAAGGCATACTTAACATGCCGCGGGGGGCATGAACCCCTTTGACAGGCTGGTGAAATCTATGGACTTTTCTCAGGATGCTTAAAATGCATAAAAATATAATACATAGACTTACACAGGCAGTCAACTATATTGAAATACAGCTACAAAAGATTTTTTAAAATATGGCATCATAACGTGTTATTTAATAGCAGTGTAAATAACAAAAACTAGTGACATTGCTAATATTTAATCATTATCTGAAGTTGTAATAAATATAAATTGAGATAGCTGCAGCAACTGTCACGCAATTTGAAAAGATCTGTGATTTCTCTTGGTGACAAAAAGTCACAGGTGCTACTAATACTATTCCAATTTGTTGCCTACATTTGTAATTGCAGGGAATGTTAAATTTCAGTTAGAGGGAAGAGAAAATAAAGATGTCATTTTATTTTGCCATTCAAGTTCACAGACCAGGTTAGAAACCACTGTTACGCGGTCCCTCTACCACATGGCAGCCAGGTTGAGAACTAAGGCCCCCACGTGTTTCCCTGACATTGATGGGCACAGCCCTAGGAGGTCAGGTCCCACCTATTCAAGTAATTAAATCACAATTTATATCTTGCACCTTAAAAAAATATGTATGTGGCTGGATGAGGTGGCTCACGCCTGTGATCCCAGCACTTTGGGAGGCCGAGGTGGGTAGATCACAAGGTCAAGAGATCGAAACCATCCTGGTCAACATGGTGAAACCCAGTGTCTACTAAAAATACAAAAATTAGCTGGGTGTGGTGGCACGCACCTGCAGTCCCAGCTACTTGGGAGGCTAAGGCAGGAGAATTGCTTGAACCTGGGAGGCGGAGGTTGCAGTGAGTTGAGATCGTGCCACTGCACTCCAGCCTGGTGCCTGGCGACAGAACAAGACTGTCTCAAAAAAAAAAAAAAAAAAAAATATATATATATATATATATATATATATATATATATATATGTGTGTTCTTAGATAGATAGGTTCAACAACAAGAAGTGAGGAAGGGGCCTATCAGGCTGCTGGTTGGAAAGACCTTTATTGAATTCATTGCCATCAACTCTCCTTAGCAGGTACCTCTCCGACACTGGTTATCTTGTTTTCTTTCTTTTTCTTTTTCTTTCTTTTTTTTTTTTTTTTTTTGAGATGGAGTCTCACTCTGTTGCCAGGCTGGAGTGCAATGGCACATCTCAGCTCACTGCAACTTCTGCCTCCCAGGTTCAAGCCATTCTCCTGCCTCAGCCTCCAGAGGAGCTGGGACTACGGGCACACACCACCACACCTGGCTAATTTTTCGTATTTTTAGTAGAGACAGGGTTTTGCTACATTAGCCAGGATGGCCTCGATCTCTTGACTTTGTGATCCGCCCTCCTCAGCCTCCCAAAGTGCTGGGATTACAGGCATGAGCCACCGCACCCGACCAGTTATTGTGTTTTCTGCTGATTTAGTAGCTTGCTGGATCGGTTACATCCTCTTGTGGTGTTCTTGCCCCATAAGATGTGGGCAGTTCAGATATAGGAAATAGTTCAGGAAGAGGAAATTCAAACTCCCCACCTAGAGAAGCTGTTTGCTCTTTGCATGAAAGTACTCTTTGAAGATGGGTGGGGGATAAAGACAGGCCTCTCTGAAAGGGGAATTTTGTGACCACTAAAATACAAATAAGGAACTCATCTTTTTTTTTTTCTCACAAATGCAAAGTTGAAATCAATTCATTGGGCCACTCACACAGGGGTAAGAGACACAGTTCCCCTTTCCTGTTTATTTTAGTACTTACCTAAATGAGAAGGGAGGAGGAGTTGGGGGAAGGGCAGATCACAATTTCATTGTTGCAAAAATGATGTTCCTTTTCAACCTAGAAATTAGCACATCAGGCCACACTCGTCCTTCAACAATCACCATCTTGCTGATTACGTGTGTCTTCAAAGATTAGCTTCCATACCTGTAAATTAAAAGAAAGGTAAAATTCATTTGACAATAGAAAAGTGTACATCTAAATAGTAGGTCATTAGTGAAAAAACCAGGGGATTTAGAAACAAAACAAAACTATTCTCAGACCAAATTTATGGGGGCAACGCATTCTAAAATACGGAGTTACTACATCTTCATATTTAAAAGTCTTTTGACCAGTTATATACTTATAATTTAAATAACAACAACAACAAAAAAAGCAAGGCTAAGAAAACACCTTCTGGGTGGCTGGCTACTTGACTGTAGGTCATATGATCATATATTTCCCCAATCACTTGCGTTTGTACTTTGATTGTAAGACAAGCAGAGCCTATATCCTATTCTATTACAGCTATTTGTGAGGTTTTTTTTTTCCTTGATTTTAAATTTCTGGAGCTGACATCTCCAGGGTCATGCCAGACAATTAGTAGGTTCTCAATAAACCTTTGTTGAGTTGAATAGAACCCAGAGAAGTATTGCTGATGAGGGAGGATACAGCAAGTGATTTTTCTACAAAGCCTGACAAGCAGTGTTCAAAGTTTTCCACCAATAACATGAATAATGGATGTTAAAAAAACAAGCTTTAAAAATTTGCAAATTGCACAGAAGAAGTCTAGTAAAGAGGCTCTCCATGAACAGTGGAAACGTCAGAAATAAACAAAATTAAGTCTACCAGAGGCGTGAAAACAGTCACTATGCTATTATTGATGAAATTACTAATTCCAGTAATCATCGTGACCATTATTGCATGGTGACTCAGGCAGTTCCTTCATCCGTGAAACAGAGACATGAACAGAACCTCCATCCCTGGGTGGTTAGGAGGACTGAATGAGTTAATGCACACAGCACACTTCCAGTAGCACCTGGCACATGGGAAGTGTTAGTTACGCCAGGCGTGGTGCTGAGTGCTTCTCCTACTTGACTAATGGAAATAACAAAGGAGCCAGGATGAAGCGAAACCTTAGGAGCTGGGAAAAAGAAGAAAGGTCGGAACTTATGTTCTAGAGTTTTCATGTCTTAGTCTTTGTATGACTGTTGCTGCTGCCTGGTGCAACCTTCCACAGGCTGGCTCCCGTGGCTGGCTCCCTCTCATCCTGCAGGTCTCAGCTTAAAAGCCCGGCTCAGACTGCTTTCCCTCACTCACAGTGGAAAGTCGTGTCCCCTATGTTATTTCCCTCTTTCCCTTTAGAACACTTGAACACTGTGTGTAATTGCATAGCAATTGTTTATCTAGCTAGTGAATGTCTCCACCACTAGACTGTCCACTCCACGAAGGCAGGAACTGGTTGAGTTTACTAATTATCCTCAACTCCTAGCAAATTGCCTAGCACATACCACATGCTTAATGAATGAAATGAAACTATACCTGTTGTAAACAATGAATGAATACAAGTATAGCTTTTGTAAACAAATGGAATAAATGAATGTATCAGGGTTCCCGTTATACCCAAGGTCACTTCCAGGCAGCATGGCATCCTTGGTCTCTAAAAGATACTTGCCTTTTGAAAGAACACCAGCATTTAGAAAAGTGACCCTACTCCAAACACTGTAATTTTTTTTTTTTGAGACACACACTCGCTCTATCACACAGGCTGGAGTGCAGTGGTGCGATTTCAGCTCAATGCAACCTCCACCTCCCAGGTTCAAGAGATTCTCCCCTGCCTCAGCCTCCCAAGTAGCTAGGATTACAGGTGCATGCTACCACACCACACCCAGCTAATTTTTTTGTATTTTTAGTAAAGACGGGGTTTCACCATGTTGCTCAGGCTGGTCTCGAACTGCTGACCTGGTGATCCACCTGCCTTGGCCTCCCAAAGTGCTGGGACTACAGGCATGAGCCACTGCGCCCGGCCCAAACATTGCAATTTAACACTGGATCCTCTGATGGCTTCTTTCAGGATCCTAAAGTTTGTGTCCAACCTCCAGAGAATGTTTAGCCGCCCCTACATCCCCACATAGTTCCTGGTTTTCATCAAATACATAAATATTGCCTAAAAGACAGGGGTGAGGAAGGAGAGTAAAGTTAGCCTGATAGCAGCTGGGGTATGAAAGTGAAGGAAGGGAAAATACAGAATTTGAGAATTCACTGCCGTTTTACCAAGAAACATTTCTTTTTTTTGAAACTTCTGGGATGGCAAGAAGTACATGCGCAAACCTCAGAGTTTGGGGCAATCAACAGTACCCTAACTTCCCTGAACAGGTTCAGACACCAAGGGCCAGGTATAGGAAAAGCCCAGATACTTTTAAAGTTAAAGATCCAAAGTGGAGAAAAGGAAAAAATGAAGAAAGAGCTCCAGCTCCACGGCGGGTGTCCTGGCACTAGTGGGGTCAACACAAACAGAGCTCAGGGAAGGAAGAGAGAGGGGAGGGGAAGTTTTTTGTTCTTAAAGGGTAATGTAGAAAAAAAAGAAAAAGCTCTGGCTGGGCGTGGTGGCTCATGCCTGCAATGTCGGCATTTTGGGAGGCCGAGGCAGGCAGATCACCTGAGGTCAGGAGTTCGAGATCAGTCTGCCCAACATGGTGAAACCCGGTTTCTACTAAAAATACAAAAATTAGCTGGGCCTGGTGATGGTGCCTATAATCCCAGCTACTCTGGAGGCTGAGGCAGGAGAATACCTTGAATCCAGGAGGTGGAGGATGCAGTGAGTTGAGATCACACCACTGCACTCCAGCCTGGGCAACAAGAACAAAACTCTGTCTAAAACAATCAAACAAACAAAAAACTCCTCACGTCAGAGTGACCAATAAGAACCCAGACTGCTACTTCCACTTTTATGTCGTGGCTGGCAGAGCACAGGGAGCCTGCCCTGGAAAGGACGGACAGGGAAAGCCTGGCTGCTGCTTACTCAGCCCCCCTTTGACAGAAGACTTGGTCCCCAGGTCAGGGATGATCAGGGAAGAGATCAGTGGACAGGAGCCAGAACTGGGCTGCATGTAGCCCAAACTGCGCCTGTGTGTGGATTACAAAAGGCGCACTCCCACCCCTTCTTCAAGACACTTTGCTTACTTCTGTTGGAAAATTGTTGTTATTGGCTGATTTATTAGAGTAAGACACATGACTATCAACTGCCAGAAAACTGTCATAAAAAATATACAAACTAACTGTGTTTACTATCAGTAATGGTCCTTTAGATGTGGTACCCTTGTGCAGAGGTCAGCCGGAAATAGAGAAGTTTGAAATAGTTGCATCAAGGCATCAAAAGCTTAGCTTCCTTGTTTCAGCATCCCTATTAATCCTTTGCAAAATCATGATCCTTAATGCATTTCTCTTCTTGCTATGGTCAACTTGTGATGCACTGGGTGGACAAAATAGAATGAACAGAAATGAAGCATCTGTTTGTCAGACAGCTTAAACCATGATGTTTCAAAAGAAAGGATTGGTATCATGTTAGAGTATTCAGGTAAATATGTGATTTGTATGTGGTTAAGTTCCAATAGCAGCCTGGTTTGGCACATTGAATGGTGTGTGTGAGATGCTTGAAATTAACAGTAAGGTAATATCTTTCCTGCATTTGGTTTCCCAAATTAAAATGCCCCTACATCAAATGGCTGTGGATTTATCCTGAGCATCAGCTCTGAGGTTGAGAACAGACAACATGTGTACCTCTGCCGCCTGATCATGCCTGGGGCTTTCTCATCTCACGGTCTCAAGGTCTCAAAACAGGTAACACAGAAATGAATGTTCTCAAATTCGTGGGGGAATCTCACCAGTTATTTTGGAAATAAATATAGCTGCATGCAGACAAGCTTCCATTTGTCCAGAATTACCTAACTAAGTGGAAGCTGCCCACACGATTACATTGGAGTTAAGTATTCTGAGCTCCACCCACTCTCTACCCATTTTTAGCATAGTGTGATGGAGGCAAACAGACCATGAGAACCATGTGGAAATGTCACAAATGACCAGATCCCAGGCCTGTTTGCAGGTGCTGTCTGACTCCTGGTCACCAGATCCTTCCCACCATAAATACACAAGTTCCTTTTCAAAATTCTTTCACACAAGTTCTCATGCTTTAAACTCACAAAAGTAGGACAGAGCTCCTATCTCTCCATTTTACAGAATGGGAAACAGACTCAGAGAGGCTAGTGTGTAGAAAAGTCAGAAAGCAGAATGTGGGTCCCTTGATTCTTTGGCCCAACATTCCATGAGTCTCAGCTCTTAGCACTGAAATCATGTGGGGGAACTTTGAAACATGTGGATGTCCAGGCCAATCCCAGCTTTTCAAGGGATAGAATCTGGAATACATATTTTCCTTTTCTTTCTTTTTTTTTTTTTTTTGAGAGAGAGTTTTTCTCTGTCACTCAGGCTGGAGTTCAGTGGCACAATTTCGGCTCACTGCAACCTCCACCTCCCGGGTTCAAGCGATTCTCCTGCCTCAGCCTCCTGAGTAGCTGGGACTATAGGTGCATGCCACCATGCCCAGCTATTTTTTTGTATTTTTTTAGTAGAGATGGGGTTTCACCATGTTAGCCAGGATGGTCTCGATCTCCTGACCCCGTGATCCACTCACCTTGGCCTCTCCAACTGTTGGGATTACAGGCGTGAGCCACTGTGCCTGGCCTCTTTTTTTTCGAGACAGAGTCTCACTCTTGTCACCCAGGCTGGAGTGCAGTGGCACAATCTCAGCTCACTGCAACCTGTGCCTCCCAAGTTCAATCAGTTCTCCTGCCTTAGCCTCCTGAGTAGCTGGGATTACAGGTGCCCGCCACTACACCTGACTAATTTTTGTATTTTTAGTAGAGACAGGGGTTCACCATGTTGGCCAAGCTGGTCTTGAACTCCTGACCTCAAGTGATCACCTGCCTGGGCCTCCCAAAGTGCTGGGATTATAGGCATGAGCCACTGTGCCCTGCCTAGAATGTGTATTTTCTCAAAGTGCCATGAGGACTGGGCGTGGTGGCTCCCACCTATGATTCCAGCACTTTGGGAGGCTGAGGCAGGAGAATCACTTGAGCCCAGGAGTTTGAGACCAGCCTGGGCAACATGGTGCA